GACTTAAGTCACTATAACTGACAGTAGAAAATGCCTCGTCAGTTAAAAAGGCTCAAATAGTATCAAGAATCGAAGAAGAATGGTCAATTCATACTGTGGTATAATAGAAATAAAAAATCTATATTAAAAATTAAGCAACGCTGCAGCGCGCTGGGAACAGGAAGATTTATTAAAACAAAAAGTTGGTTCAGGTCGTCCCAAAATGTCCACCCCTGCACAGGATGCTGCTTTTTTGGGATATCTGAGGATTTATGGGAAACTATACAACTATACTATACCTACTATACTGCTGGGAAGATATTAATCCAAATATTGTATTAAATTTAATTCAGTTCATCCCAAATAGATTGGCTCAAGTAATAGAAAAACAGGGATGCATGACTAAATATTAAATTTTTTTTAATGTTTGTTTTTTTTTCATTTCTAAAAGGTAATAATTTTTGTAATATTATTTAATTAACCTACAACGTCAATGCTCTTTATAACCTATAGTAATTATTTTAATGACTTATGTCAGTGATAAGCCGGTTTTAAGCAATAATATTATTTTGACAGTTTTCTCTCCCAGATAGCACAAAGATATACTATGGACGTCCAATGGACGCATGCTCGTGGACGTCTGTATGTACATAGGATGTCCATTTTTTTTCTATGGACGTCCCATGGACATCCGTTTAGAGTCCAGATGTCACAACTTTGGACATCCATAAGTCGTCCACCGATGGTGTTTGAACCATTCCTCCAGCATCCAGAACCTGCTTTTTTGCTTACTTTAACTGTTTTTTGCGACTGTATTTTCATTGCGATGTTGCAGAAAATTTTTTGCCTGGCTCAGTAACAATCCCACTATAGTTGAATTTTTAAGTCATGAGCCCTACGGCAACAATGTCAAGCAACTGAATCAAATCGAGGGCAAAATCAGTGGCGTATCGTGGAGTTTTATTTGGGGTTCGAAATGTTGTATACGTATGCAGTCCATTATACACGTTTGTGCTTTGGGTTGCGAATCAAAATATGAGAATCGTATTTTGCCTGGCTTAAACCATATTATGATTCGTTTTAACTTAAATCCTTCATTTGAACGTTCAAATTTATTACAACAGTAACTCTTATGTAATTTTATTATTAAATGAAACGTTGTAATTTATATATATTAAATTATTGTAATTTTAAATTATATAGTTTGCGTTACCCATTCTGCGTGGAGAAAATATACTTTGCAAATTTTCAAAATATGTATGTTAATTAATTTGGAAATATTAATATTTGTATAATGCACAATGGTTAAGATATTATTTTATATAATCATTTAGTTGTGGAGATTGCACACGCCAATAAGCTCAAATGGAGACAAAAATGGGACGTCTAATTTTTGTTTAATAGTAAAATGCAATATACTCTGAAAAATATTGGTTTATTTAATAATTTAATGATAAATGCTCTTAACTGCATTAAAAGGATCTATTTTCATCTATTAATATGTTAATATCTATATATAAGATATCTTAATCGCTATCATCTTCCGATTCATCGTCGTTGACGTTACCAATGTAGATTATCATTTCATGACCATGATCATCGTCCAAGATTCTTTCTTTATTGTACCATTCCTCTATAATTTTTTCAGTGTGTGCTATTTTTGACTTCCATGATTCTGGAGTAACTTTTTGTAATTCCCGTTCCCACATAGTAAGCACTTTATCATTGCCATAGCCATCTTCACCAATATGTTTATTATAATAATCCTTTGCATCGGCCCATACCATTTCAATTGCGTTAAATTGACAATGGTACGGAGGCAATCTTAAAACTTCATGTCCATTTTCTTGTAGCAATTCATCAACCTTATATCGTATTGGTTTTTTATGTTTCTTGGCTAAATTTAAAAGTTCTACTTTGAACATATCATTATTTAATGGTATATTATTTTCTTCCAACCATTCCTTAATATTGTTTTTAGTCCATGAAACCGTTGGTTGTTTTTCCATTAAGACGCTATGGTAAGACGCGTTGTCCATTATAATTAGAGAAGGTTCCTGTAAATTTGGGATGAATTGTTCTTGCAACCATTTCAAAAAAATTTCTGAGTTCATATCACCATGATAATCCGCCAGTTTGGACCTCGTGGAGTAAACCAATGCGGCATCGCGAATAAAACCTTTTTCATTACCAGCATGCAACACAATGAAGCGTTTTCCATCATAACCTTCTGGTTTGCGTACACTTTTTGTGGATGAGTCTTGCCAGGATCAAATAAATTAAATTTAAAATTAAATCCATTTTAAGCAGAACACAGATCTGCAGATCCCATGGGTGAATTACTGTAAAACCGGGTGACTTGGCACACTTTTTTACTATTTTTGTGGAATATACTCTAAGGGTTTTAAGATAACAAACCGATTTTTTGCATTTACCAATATGGTTATCTTACCAACAAGTTATACTGTGAAAAAAAATGTTGACCTTCAAGGATCCCAGGTTTTAAAAAAAAACTTGACTGTCACAAGTATCCTGCTTATAGGATACTTGGGGCAGTCATTTTAAACGCAGTTTAAGCATGTTAAAATATTATTTGGACTTGTGATATAGTGAAGGAGACCTAGCACAATACCTAGATTTAAAAAAAAAGGGTTAGGCAATGTAGGAATAGCTACAAATATTTATGTAATAGCACCTCAAAAATATCTAACATTAAAAAAAATAATCTTCTTAAAAAATTAACAAAAAAGCTTTTGAATCACATGTTAAATACAAATTTTCCTCTTTTATCTGTAGGTTTTGGCAAATTTTCCTCTCTTATCTGAGGATTTTGGCAATTTCTTATTAGGTAATAGCACCTTAAAAATACCTAACATTAAAAAAATTAACAAAAAACAAATTTTCCTCTTTTACTTGAGGGTTTTGACGACTTCTTAGTGATTTTTTTCCAGTTCGTATAGTGTAATGTAGATAGAGGGGGCAATTAAATTTAAACTAAGTTCCGTTTTTCCCAAGAATCCTGCACTGTCCCAAGCCACCCTGTTTTACGGTACTCAATTACTTACTTTTATTGTACATGTTGTAGATAATATTACGAACTTCTGTTTTAATATTGTCATCTAAATTTTTGGTTTTCAGTGATAACCGTGGCCTTGATTGCCCTGGAGTTTCAAGCGGTTCATTTCTATCAATGCTTTGTTTTATTCGTTTAACCGTACTACTGCTGATATTCAACGCAGCAGCAACACGCTAAAATATTTAATGTTATTTACAAAATTCATATTAACATTACAAATTACCTCTGTAACTGCCTCAAAAGGAATTAAAGGACCTCCATTGGTCTTTTCGGCCATAAAATAATGTAATAATGAGGCAACCATTTCCCTAGATTGGGAATTTAAGACTTTGCCTGGCATTTGGTTTAGTTCTGAAAAGAACTGATTTTTTTCAATAACTTATTAAAATAATAATAAAAACGAACTGAAAACACTAAACACAAACTAAAAACGAACTGAAAACACTAAACACAAACTAAACACTGAAATTGAATTGTTTAAATACGCAAATTATGGAAAATATTTAAAAATTCAAGTACACCAATGATGACAGGCTGTCAAAGTTTTGTAGACATTTGTGCATTTAGCTATCTTTGTCGATCCCATTATTATAAAAATATAAACATAAAGAACGTATGTTGTGGTATTATTAGACATACGTTTATCTATCGCTATATGCTACGTCCCAGTGGTCCTGCGGCGTGGAAATACAATACGATTGTCTGAGCTATATCCTTACATATGTCACGTGAGGGTCATGATTAAAAAACCAAACTATAGGAATATAAATATTCTAAAAGTTGTTAAAAGTTAGAACATTCAATGTTGAACATTGCAGGAAATCCTTGTATTCGACTCAGGAACATTACATTTGCAATACTACAAGTGTTTAATATTTCATTGATAGCTTAAGTCCTTTATAGCACGCGCTTGCTTGAATGTCAGTGAGATTGATCATAACTGTTGTTATGCAGCCAACAATACGTTTTAACTTGCATTTCTGTAATAATAATTATGGACGTAAAATGGACACTATATGGACGTCCTTTAAAATCGTACAAAGGATGTAAATATATGGACGTACATAGTACATCCATTTTTAGTCCGTGGACCAATGTACTTAAAATGGATCTTAAACGGACGTCCATTGGACGAATGGTGCTGTCTGGGCTCATTCTAATTCTTGTACGCTTTTTTATTGAATACAACTGTACCTATTTTGAAATAATTTATTTACATTGTTAATAAATTAAATATTTTAAAACAACCTGGATCTCAGAAAAAATTAAAATAAGCTCTAGAACCATCTTATTTTGTGTGTGCATATTTTAAAAGACGTTAATTAAAATACCTACTTACTTCTGGAGTTTGAAACAAACATGGATACAATTTGGAACACTCCACAAATTCATGTGCCTGATCAATTATACTTCTTGATCCATAACTAGCATCCCCATTGCACAATTGACTAAGCGATCTTGGATTTTTGGCAATTACCTTTGTCCATCTTAAGCCATTATCACTGACAATATCAACATTTATCTTTTTATCATCCAGTAGAAATACCTTGCTGACACTTTGGATTGCAGGTACTTGTTTCATAACTCCTATTAAAGCCGAATAATGAGTTAAATTCGAACATTGCAAATGTTCAGCTTTCAGTGTTTTGCTTTTATAGACCTAAAATTATTTTTTTATTTGAATGCATAAAAATATAGTGCAGTGTAGCGATAAAGTAGAAATATGATCTTACTTTTTTTAGGAACTTTAATTCTTGATTTATTTTCCTTTTCAACTTTTGTGTACCCTCAATATGTTTAAAATTATCAGTTTCAAACAAAAGTCTTTCTCCATAATTGAGTTTTTCCAATGCCAAATTATCTAAATATTCATCTTCCATTTTAATCACGATAAAACAATTCTTTTGTTATAAATATTTCGCTAAAAAAGTATTCTTAATTTGTGACGTTTACAATTTGACATTTACATAACCTTAAAAATTCCCAAACATAACCAACGAAAAACACGTCTGCATACTTTTAAAATGAGTTTTAACGGCTACAGAGATCTTATAGAAAAAGGTGATACAGTGGTTTTATATTTGACAATAAATCAGATTTATTCTATACAAGCGGAACCAAAAACCACAAATAAAAAAGGAAATTTAATAGAAAATGTGTTTCAAACACCTTATGGGGCTCTAAAATGCGAAGACTTAATAGGTAAGCCTTATGGCAGTAAAATAACGTTAAGTAAAGGATGGGGGTATATTTTACAACCTACACCAGAATTGTGGACAATTACTTTACCTCACCGAACACAAATAATCTATACACCTGACATAAGCATGATTATATTGCAATTGGAGATTGTACCAGGCAGTACGGTTATTGAAAGTGGTACAGGCAGTGGTTCTTTATCTCACGCGTTGATAAGAGCCGTTAAACCACATGGACATTTGCATACTTTTGATTTTCATGAAGTTCGAGCTAACACAGCCAGAGAAGAATTTAAAAGCCATGGTTTAGAAGAATATGTGTCAGTTCAGCATAGGGATGTATGTGAAAATGGATTTGGGGAACATTTAAAAAATAAAGCAAATTCAATATTCTTGGACTTACCTCATCCTTGGTTGGCTATCCCACATGCTGTTGGGTCTTTGAAAGAAAGTGGTGGACGATTATGCTCATTCTCACCTTGCATAGAACAAGTGCAAAAAAGTTGTTTGGTATTATCAAAATTAGGATTTCAAGAAATAGAAACAATAGAAGTTTTGCAAACACAATACAATGTTCAAAGTAGAAATTTACCAGTTTTAAATTTGGATTTTGTTAAAACTGAAAAGGAAGAAGGCAAAGTGGAAAAAAAAGAAAAAGAAACGATTAAAACTGTGACCTGTATACCACCAAACTCTTTACCAGGCCACACAGGATATTTAACATTTGCAACCTTACCTCCAATTTGGGCAAGAACATTACAATTTAATATTAACGATGATGATTGTGAAAATTAATAAATATTTTATAATTTTATTTAGGTACATTTAAATTATTTACCTATTTATAATTCCCCAGTCATTGAAATAAAAAAATTTAATTAATCTATTAATAGATTTGGAGAAAATTTACTTTACTAAATATATGGAGGATTACGAAGTCCCGTCCGTTACGCTTTAAATTATTAGTTTTTAAGGAATTAAACAGTCAACCACGATACCTAATTTTGCCAAATAAAAACCTTGTTAAACAGCTTTAGTTTAGAACTATTTATAAAAATTTGACATTGTTAATATAATAGAACAATATTATTTTGTGAATAAAAACACGGCAACTGTCCTATCCGTTACGCGTGGAATGGCTCCAAAGTGTTTTTTTTTGCGTATGCTAAACCTGACTTAAGACGTACTATAGGTCATTAAAAAAGTTTATAAGTTTTTTGTAGAGCAGTCCGAGTATATTTAAAAATTAATATTTAAAATTTTATAGTTTTGGCGCTCTTTAATCGTATTGGCCAATCTCTGGTTACTTTAATTTTGTAACTGTACCGGTGCCGTGGTGTGGCACCACTGTCCCTGTCCAAACTAACCTTAAAAATACCGTTTTAATTGTTGACGTGATCAATTGCTTTCTTTCGTTCCAAATTAGTTTAAAAGGCAAAATGTCCGCAGATTTTTATATTCGTTACTACGTCGGACACAAGGGAAAGTTCGGCCACGAGTTTTTGGAGTTCGAATTTCGTCCCGATGGCAAATTGAGGTACGCAAACAATTCCAACTACAAAAATGATACGATGATCCGCAAAGAAGTTTACGCGCACAACTGCGTAATGGAAGAATTAAAACGTATTATTGTGGATTCCGAAATAATGCAAGAAGACGATTCTTTATGGCCACCACCAGACAGGATTGGAAGGCAAGAGTTGGAAATTGTGATTAACGATGAACACATTTCTTTCACCACCTCCAAAACAGGGTCTTTGGTTGATGTTAGTCAATCCAAAGATCCTGAAGGATTAAGATGTTTCTACTACTTGGTTCAGGATTTAAAATGCCTGGTTTTTTCATTAATTGGACTCCACTTTAAAATTAAGCCCATATAAATAAGTAAATAAATAAAACTGTGTGTATTTAAGAATATTTAATAAAAGTTTTGTGTACAATTATATAGTTTCAATTTTAATACAATATTTACAAATAATAGTCATCTTGATGATACAATTCCGAGAGCAATCGGTAAACATATGAAGGAGCATTTCCACCTCTGAAAAAAAATTTCCAATCAACAAAAATTACAGGGATATTCCTAAGCACATGGAACAAATTTAGGGGCTTATTAGTAAAAAATAAATTTATACTAGGTAGTTAATAGCAAAATTTTATGTTCCTATACAATTAAAAAAATTTAAACAAATTTTACTTATTTTATATTTTTAAATATTTACTATTGTGTTAAAAATAATATGATTTAACAAAAATATTTTTTTAACAATACCATCCTGAACGTTTTCCACCCACTGCATAATAAAATAAAACTTACTGATGAGAAATGAATAAAGTTACCAGCTCCGGGGGCACATAATCAAAAACAGGGTTCAGTACTTGCACCTTATTCAAAATAGGTCCACTTGAATATGGCAAAACGTTCGCTGGAGATGCCATAACATTAAAAGCTTCTTGTTTGTGTGAAGCTGAATAAATTGGTGAAAATTTGTACATGTGAGATAACACCATAACCGGTACAGAATAGCGTTTAGCAGCTAAAGCTATGCTGTGTACTCCACTTGCAGCTCTTAGGCCTCCATTAGCTAATACTGTATGGGTACCAATGATTACTTTGTTTACTCTTGACATCATTGCAAATACAGCCGAGTCGGGGATTATTGTTGTTTGAATGTTGGCTTTTGCTAGACGAGCCGCCATTTCATGTCCCTAGAATGGTTTCATTAAGTAATTAATGTAAATTTACAAAAAACATTAACATTCAAATAAAAATAGCATCTACATTAACACAATTATAACATAGAATATGTGAACACATAATATATTATCTGGTCACCTACAGCAGAAGTTAACATCGACTATTTCCCTCGTCTTAATTTCCACCAATCACAAACGTGCAATTTTGAATTACAAATGGTTTCTAGGTGAAAAAACTGTGTGACAGCACCTGTCAGCAGTTTTTTCGAGTCATCTATGGTTTACCCGCGGCCACGGTCTTATATACAGGTCCTGCAACTTTAAGCTTCGAGGTGGCTTCCTTAACGTGCCAAGCCACTAGGTGGCGCTAAGATCGAAGGGGTAAAGTCAATTAAACTACTACTTAGTTAAATGTGGAACTACTGCATAACCATAACCTAACTTTTTAAATTCTTTTTCTATGTTTTGTTTACATTTTTAAAAATTTAATATTTGTGAGTTTGTTTCGGATAATTTACGTTAACAAAATAGGACAACAAAGTCTATACTCTATGCACAAAGTCCTCGGCCGTCACATGCCCAGACCAAACATGTACATAAGTAAAACATGTTAATGTATAAAATACATACGTATATCATATATATGTTACGGCTAATACCTATGTAAACATGGATAGTTTATAAAGTAGCTGGGTAGTTTATAAACTAGCCAAACTGTCAGCTATTTTAATTGAAAACGTATTTTTAACTAAATTAGCGGCCAGTTTGTAAACCAACCAAGTGTCTTGGCTAATTTACTTGAAATTATTTAGGAATAGCTGGATAATTTGTAAACTATCCAATTCAATTTGGCTAATATGAAAACCAAAATTTCTATTAACACAACATAGCCAAGCTTTAGATAGTTTACAAACTAACCAACCAATATTCTGGCTAATTTATTAATAACCGATTTTTTTATTGTCTTGGCGGGGATGGGTTGATTGTTTATTTAAAATAATATATATTTCACCAACACGATGTGCTTAATTATAAATTAATCATACAAAATGTGAAGGTTTCAATAGTATCCCTGCTTAAAATACCCCATAGAGACCCTGTTCAAACCGATAGATATTTGTATCGGGATGTATGGTGTTTCTATAGGGTGTATCGGTTTGTATAGGACCCGTAGTTGAGATTTATGGTTGTTCTATAGGGATATCCACCATTGATTTATTTGCTATCGGTTTCAATGGGGAAAATACACATAAATGTAGAAATTAGTTTTTTCCCTATAGGACCCTATAGGTTTTAATAAAATTTTGTCAAATGTTTGATGGTTGCTCTATAGGGATATCCCTATATATCCTTCATTGAGTTATTTTCTATCGGTCTCAATAGGGAAAATGTAAAAGTTATGGTGTGCCTATAGGTAATTTCCTATACATTTTCTATCGGGCTGTATCCGGAAAAACCCATGGACAAATGCACATATAGAATCCGGTAGCGCCCGATAGATTATTTTGTATAGGTCTCTATGGGGTATTTTAAGCAGGGATGTTTTTTATTGCACATTGCCATGTTTTTAACTGCTCCTTATTTGTTGGCACTTTAAACATATGGACCGCTTAATTTTAATGCCGGAACGATGGCTTTGCTGGTTACATTTTGGCACAACACAGGACTTCATGTCTATTAAAAAGCACAAATACAAATGTATAACAAGAACAAATATAACAAAAACAAATATAACAAGAACAAATATAACAAGAACAAATATAACAAGAAAAAATAGAACAATATAATATAACAATAACGAATATCACAATAACAAAACACACAAGCTTGTTTATAAAAATGTAGGTTATGTTTCTTAACACAGCTGTGAACTAGTGATGGGTCGCACATGTGCGAGTCGTACATAATGTACGACACTTTTTTGTGTGCGGAGCTGGTACGACTCTTTTTAAATGTGCTACCAGCACATAGCACCCAGAGATAAAAAAGGCACCTTTATCATATGTGGCACGGTGCGCTGACACAGCACTGCTCTTTCTCTAACGTATGACTCTTTAGTAAAGAATCTTTACGTATGTGGCTTTGACTCTATGATTCAGCACAGAACACATAGATGGCACTACAATAGGTTACAAGTTGTAGAGAAATTATTTTATATAATTAACAGTTTGTATATCTTAAAAAATATCCAATCCATAATTTATCGTGATGTCCATAGATGGCAACACAGTCTATATTATAATTATATTAAAATAAAATTGCCTCTTATCAAAAAAGGGTTTAAGTTAAAATTGTATTTATCGACTTTAATAATAATAAACATAAAAAACACAATTAAAAATCCAAAACCGACAGTTGGATACGACACGCACAGTGTGCTGAGCTGTGCAACGTGCGAGATTCTCAATTTGAATCATTTTCCCCACCCCGCACAAATGTACGACACGCACAGTGCCGCACACTGTAGTGTGCTGTGCAGGGTGTGCTAGCACACAAGAATGTGCTGGTTGGACCCATCATCAGTGTGAACATAAGTAGGTAGTTCATTTGACTTTTATCCCATAGACTTTAAGGACTTAGAGCCAGTTTTACAATCGTTAGATTAAGTTAGCTTATTTGGCGGATAACTTTCATAGAAACCTTCTATCCAAGAAAATTATCCACCAGAGAGCTTATCTAACGATTGTAAAACCCAAAGATAAAGAAGGTAAAAACGACCTTTAAACATCTATGGTTTACCACCCAACTCGATGCGCCATCTGGTGGGTGTCTCATTAGAGAGGTCACTTTTCTTATTGAAATTGGGCGAAGTTGCAGGACCTGTATATAAGACCGTGCCAGCGGCAAAACTTGACAGCTGTTGTCACCAAAAATTGCAATTTATATTTTAATTGTTAACTGTTACTCATGAAATAGTCTTGTCAAATACCATTCGGGATCAAATTTTTCCTGTGAAAAAAATCGAAAAAACACAATGCTAAGTAATATTTTTTAACAAAATGCATTCGTGCAGGTGCAAAAATCCTCCTCTTCGACTCGGATTTTTGTTGCCACCAGCACTCATGCTTTTTGTTAAAATATTACTTAGCAACGTGTTTTTTCGATTCTTTTCGGAAAAATTAAATGCCCTTATGAAATTACTTACGATTATTTCCCTCATTATAATATGAACCAATCAAAAGCCTTGAATTTTCGATTAAATTTCGTTTAAATAAGCGATTAAATCACTAGAACTATTTAACAGCGATTAAATTTTAGCCTCCATATTGGATTTTTGTTTACGACTTTATGGTGTTATTTAAAAGTTTTAACAAACATTTTTAAAAAAACAATAAAAAATAAGTTATCTAGTTTACGAAATATCAATTATTACTTATTACATACCTTAAATTAATGGAATTTTCTTTAAAAAAATATTTATAAATTTTGACACATACGACAGATTTTATGAATTGTCAAATAGTTTCCTTTAATTCGAGAAATAATCTAGACGTATATCACTCAACCTATAAATTTAATCTGTCAAACTATGCTCAGTATGTAAGTTTTTTATTTGATTTTTCTTTTTGGAAAATAGTTTCATGCAAAATAATTAAAAATAAAACCCCTCGACCGCTACGCGGTCTCGTGATTTTATTAAATTATTTTGCATTCAACATTTTCCAACAAAAACAAAACAAAAAACTACTGAGCCTAGTTTAACCGATTAAATTCATAGTTCTCGTGATATAATATATGATTAAAACCAGGACCACACTGTATATTATAAGTTTATATGCATTATTTTTGTTGTTTCCCTATACTGTATGCATCTAATCTCACATAAGTTATCTGTCTATACAGAACTCGCGCCACAGAGAAAAAGGGGGCGTGCTGATAACAATGAAGATGCCAAATTTAAAAATAAAAAATTCTAGGTAATAGTGTAATGAGAGCAAAAAAGCGGCAGCCAATAACGCGAGCCTAGGTTAAACATTAGGGTGTGTCATTTTTAAGCAACTTTTTTTTTCAACTAAAAAACAGGCTAAAAACTTTCAGGAAGGTGAAAAAAGAAACCTCTAAAAATTTGAGCTCTTAATATTAATATTAAGTGGTGCCTGTTCCTAACTTTCCATTTAAATAACATGGAAATTTTTTTCTTATTTTTGTAGCTTGACATTTGAGCATTGTAAAAACGAACTGAAAAATTATTTTGGTAGGAAATTGAACGCTCTACAAAAAAGTTTCAATATATTTTTTCATAGAGTGAGCCGTTCTGAAGGTATTCAAACTTAAAGTTGCCTTTAACATTTCGAATCGCGGCTCGTTAGCGTGCCTCTAGTCACTGTGTAATCCGAACGGTAATATACCGACTGAGCCGATATAATCCATATATATAACAAATATGATATAATCTTTTATCAGAGTTGTCAACTTTGGTTGAGGTAAAATTATAAAAAATACAGATAGATTAAAAATTCAATGCAATAACAAATTCATTTTTTTATTTAATCTATTATAATTATTGAACAAATTTATTGAACACAAATAACTTTTTTTGATAGTAAATAAAATAAAATGGAAAAAAATTGAGATGTAAGTGTTATTTTTTTTTTATACGAAATAATTATTTTTAGACAAAAAAAGTATTAGTTTAATAAAATAAAAGTCATAATTTCATACATTTGCAAGTTTAATACCTTCAGAACGGCTTACTCTATGAAAAAATAAATTAGAACTTTTTTGTAGAGCGTTCAATTTCCTACCAAAATAATTTTTCAGTTCGTTTTTACAATGCTTAAATGTCAAGCTACAAAAATAAGAAAAAATACTTTTTTTCCATATTATTTAAATGGAAAATGGAAAGTTAGGAACAGGCACCACTTAATGTTATTATTAAGAGCTCAAATTTTTAGAGGCTTCTTTTTTCACCTTTGAAAGGTCCCAAGGCCTTGGGACCTTATTTAATTATACCGCAGTTTACTGATCACTAGACTACCACTGATCAGAGGGTTAAGGAAACAAGAATGTATAATTTTTTTTTTATCTTTAAACCTCATATATCTCCAAAATAAAGCGGTTGCGGACCCAAGTTGATTTAAACTTTTTTCCTTCAAATTATCCAAGGATTTAGTCAGTATCAGCATCCAATTAAGAAACACCCTGTATATGGATATTTTTATATTTATTCATTGTTTTAATAGCGCGCTATTAAACAAAATGTTTCAAAAAATGTTAAACGCATTTTTACAACAAAAATTATTTCTACTACAATTACTTTTTTTATTGATCAGATCTTTAAACTTAATATATTAAAAAATAAAATAAACTTGATATATTAAAAAATAAAATTTGTAATATTTTTGGTTAATTTTATTTGAATACACAAAAATATAAATATATACAGTTTATTACCTGGTATAATGGAGCCTGCTCCAAAACAATAACATTTATAGACCTCTTTTTAGCAGCATTCTTCAAAAACTTCTCAACTAAATTTGATTTACCCACAGTTAAAATAATTTCATTTGTATGAATATGTTCTGCCGCTTGTGTGGCAATATTGTCAGTACTTGTTTCTAATTCTACTTTATACTCAGACAAATGGTCTAATAAACTCATTTTTAAATCTTTCAGGGGAGTTGTATAATCCAACACATCATTGGGATTTGCTGTTACTAATTGATGCAAGGATTGAATTTCAGTTTTTTTCTTGCTAACTACTTCAAATTCTTCCCTTATTACTTTTAAAATGTGCCTCATTATGTTTGTGGCAGTGGCTTCTTGTGGCAAACATTCTGTACAGAATTTTATACAAAGTTTAATCAAATCCATTAATTCACTACAACAAATTATTACCTATAGGTTTATAATTATTTTAATAAAATTACTCTGCATGTTTCCAATTCCTTTTAGAAATCAAGGCTTCTACAATTTCTTCAGTTTTAAGAGCTATTTCATAAGAAGTTATTAATTTTCTAAAACATATTGCATCATTTAACTAAGCCATTAGTTTTAGCAAAATAAACCTACTTTTGCTTAATATCACTTATTAACTTATTTATATCTGATAAATCCTCCTTGTGGGTCATTTTTTAGCTAAAATAAAACACCTTTTTAAAAAATATGTCAAATTTGACAACCAACTTTATTTGAGGTTAGGTTATGACCAACATAGAGAAAATATATATAAAAGTTTTTTTGGTTTTTAGTATTGGCACCACGTATAACCTTATGTTCTGTGTATAACCTTAAAATAAACAAAATATTTTTAAAATTTCCTTTATAGAAAATCTCTTTAAAAGTATGTTATTGTTAATGTTAAAAAATGGGGAAACAAGATATAAAGCGTTTATTTAACAAGACGTACAGATTTAGCAAGAATGAAGATTGGGTTATACCAAAAGTTGTATTTTCATGTTCGAAATGGACTATACCTTCCCTACAATTAAGCAAAGAAGAACTAAATGAGACTAAAGGACTATTAAATGGGGTCAATTTGGAAGCCTGGTCAAACCATACTAAATCCAGGGACCCATCCAGTTTTATTATACAGAGGTTGAAACAAAATATTAATCCAGAACTTTTAACACAGGTTTATTACTTATATTACTTTTAATAAATAATATTAATGTTTTCTTTGTTTTAGGCTTGGTGTAAGTTTTATGAATGTATAAGTACATTTCCAGTAGTTCCCATAAATGCCATAAATCAAGGAAATGTGAATAGTCTTCACATTTGTGAAGCTCCTGGAGCATTTATATGTTCTTTGAATCAATATTTAAAATTAAATTATCCAGATGTAGAGGTTTGTAATTATTTTTACGGTGTTTTTTTACTTGACAAATTAGGCAATTTTATAAAAAAAATTAAAAACCTTGCCTTCTAGCAATTAAATTCTGTTTTTTGTATTTTTTATTTTAAACCTACGTAAACTAGGTATAATTTAAATTAATTGAGGGCCGGAAAGCCTTTTAATGCTCAGCTACTGGATATCTTTAGAATTATTTGGATATTGTTTTTGGAGTAACTACAACCACTATTATAACTATTTTTTTATGTTTTTAATTTAGTTTAATTGGAGAGCAAACACATTAAATCCAAATTATGAAGGCAATTCTCTTTTGAACATGATTTCTGATGATAGACTTATCAAATTTACTCTGGATAACTGGTTGTTTGGTGAAGATGCAACAGGAGATATAAAAATATTTAAGAATTATATTGATATAATTACCAAAGTTAATGAATTGGGCAAAGTAATAACACAACTAAAAATTATTATTTTTATATACATAATTTTATTTTAGAGATCTCTGGTAACTGCTGATGGTAGTGTGGACTGTATGCATGATCCTGGTAATCAGGAAAAGCATGTTTCCCATTTACATTATTGTGAAACAATTACAGCATTGTCTGTTTTGGAAACAGGTAATATTTTTCGTTTAAAAAAATCATTAATTACCTACCTATGAAGTACAATTTAAAAAATTATATTTTCCATTTATTTCAGTTTTTTGAATTTCAAAATGTGCTATTTAAATAACAGGAAAATTTTTTTTTATTTGTTTCTGAATCAGTATTTTTTTCATTAATTGGTCAAAAGTCACAGCAATTTTGAGGTCTCTATGTTTTAAGCAAATTTATTGAATAATTGATAGTTAATGTAAAGAAACAACGTTCTTTCTAAGAATTCATATTTAAATAAAAGAAAATATTGAAAAATATATAAATAGGTATATTCTATTATAAATAAAATAAATTATTTTGGCTTTTGGTTTTTTTATCTATAGCAAAATAAAAAATCATGACAAGATTTATATATATGTATATATGTATTTATATACATATAAATTAATGATCTTTTAACTTTTAATGACACATTAACCCTGGTAGAAAATATTGTCTATCTACAATCAGTCTATAATTTAAATGTTATCGTTTTCATCATATACAACTGATTAATTAAGACCTAGGCAATCAGCTGTTCAAACCAATAGATATTTGTATCGGAATGTATGGTGTTTCTATAGGGTGTATTGGTATGTATAGGACCCATAGTTGGGATTTATGGTTGTTCTATAGGGATATCCACCCTTGATTTATTTGCTATTGGTTTCAATGGGAAAAATACACATAAATGTATAAATTAGTTTTTCCCGCATAGGACCCCATATAATAATACGTTTTAATAAAGTTTTGTCAAATGTTTTATGGTTGTTGTAAATGTAAAAGTCATGGTGTGCCTATAGGTAATTTCCTATACATTTTCTATCGGGCTGTATCCGGAAAAAACCATGGACAAATGCACATCCGGTAGCGCCCGATAGATTATTTTATATAGGTCTTTATGGGGTATTTTAAGCAGGGAGACTAATCTAGACCAATCAGGTTAGGTTTTTTACAGCCTAGGCACCGGTTATTAACAACGTTTTTTGTTATAAAATATTTTATTTTTCTGAAGCTTCTACGCTTCTACTTAAACCCTGTAAATTTCAAGTAGATTCCGCGTGATGAATTTCAGAAAAATATTTTTTGAGTTGCAAACACAATAACAAAAAAAATTGAATTTTGGAAAACCACTTCGTGGACACTCTAGAAATGCGATAGAGCTATTGATTTTCACTCTAATTCATAATGCAATTTGCGGGTATTGAATCCATACCACTAATAAATTCTCATTACGATTCAGCTGTAAGTTTCAAGTAACATTCAAAGTCAATCAGATGCGCTCATACTGGAATGAGCGCATCTGATTGAATGTTAACGGCAGACTTGAATGATTTAATTAAATTTTGAAATGTTTTTTCTATTTCGTAAAATATCTTTTAAAAATAAAATTGGCTTCATACGACAAAAAATTATCTCTCCTATCGGCTTGTTCGGAAACTTTTATCATCGGTAGTAATTGAAAAATTGCTCTTTAACTTTCTGTCCTATAATTATTGTTTCTAGATACAATAAGGTGTGAGTTTAACAAAATGTAATTGTAATACAATAATAATTAATTATATTGTAGGAAATTAAAGTCGTTTTTTTCGCGTAAATACCATGAAATACTATGGTTATTAAACTTAACCTTGGTTAATAGTTAAGACATTTTTGCGTTTAGAGTGCGTTCAAAAATCCTCACTATGACGTCACAAATACCAGACCATAAAACTATATCGCTGAGCTAGTTATTCAACGTGGTTAATAGTCTTTCTCTTTTTAATATATATTTTTCTCTGTTTCGATCTGTCAAAAAGTTGTTTACATTTAAAATATTTTAAGTAGATACAATTGCTCTTAAACCGAATTTAAACTTATTAAAATGGTAAATGGGGTGTTGTCAGTAAACATAAATGATAGGGTGCTCCATATTGTGGAATCTCCACAAGAAGTGGAGGAATTATATGCAGGTTTGTTTTATATTCTTCCTTATTTTGTATTAAATATGTAGGAGAATTGGATAACGTGTATTGAAAAAACTAGTATAGAAAAAGAATTTTATTTACACCGGTAAAAGCATAGAAATTAAATATAAATAGGTAAAAACACATTTAAAAAATTATAGGTTATGAACAAGTAAACAAATGTCAAATGTTAGAAACCTAACCATGGTTATACGAATTAACTGTGACGTCATGACTTATTTAACCGTAGTATTACATAGTATTTACGCGAAAAAACGACTTAAAAGTGCTACCAAAACTTTTTAACCAATTCCAATAAATTGTTCAGTTTTTATATAAAAACGTAAAAAATTCATTTTGTATGTATAATTAGTTTAGATTAGAAATATGCCAATAATATGACACCCTGAAAATATAATATAAAAAATGTACTTGTATATGTTTGTAAACCAAAGTTAATAAAAAAAGTTTGTCTACTACCTGCATGTAATTCCCTTTTTATTGACACAGTTTTTGTTTTAAGGTGGCAGCTTCATATTAAAAATATTCACAATGTTTGAAGATTCAACAATAAACCTCTTATATTTATTGAACTGCATATTTGAAGATGTGGCCATACACAAACCATGTTCATCAAAGAGTGGTAATTCTGAAGTCTATGTGATTTGTACACTTTTTAAAGGCTTGGACACCATTGAAAACATATGGCAAAACTTACTATTTCCCTATAAATCTGGAACCTTTGGAGAATTATCCATGTTTAACTTGCAAGATATACCTTCATCTTTTTTAATTCAAATTCATGAATGTTCAGAGTATTACAAGAGATTGCAAATGAAAACAATCACAGACAATATTTTTTATTTTAATACCAAGTGCCCAATGGCGCACAAAAGGCATTATTTGAAGGTGACTGTTGCACAAACTTACTTAAATAAGTTTAAGTTAAATAAAATGTCAAATGATTTAAAAATTGTTCCGCATGCAAATGCGTTGAAAAGTTGGCGTAATTTTAACGATTATTATGCGTATGAAAAAGGTTTTGAAAAACTTGACATTAAAGATTTAATTCAATATGATTTTGATGAAATAGAAATCATAACAGGGAAACCTATTTTAGCTGTAAAAAATTCAAAATTTGCTTGTAAAACAACAATTGATAGTTTCACAAAGTGGAATTTTAAAAGTAAAAAAGAAAACACCTTATATTTTTTTTGTTTAGAAAGTTTACGTAAGACATACACAATTTTTGACATTAACGATTTTAATATTTATGACCAAAACAAATTTCAAAAGGATTTTAGCAGTAAGCTTCAAGTATGTGATAATACCAAAGAAATAATGTTTATTAATTTTCCATTTTTTACCCATTACTTAGTGGGTATTTTGTATTATTTGATTAAGGCTTTTAAATGTTTGTATTTTAATAAAAACGGCATTTTAATTTTAAAACATGTTGACTTTGAAAAATTGCTTTCAATAAAGGAATCTTTAAAGAAAATAAACGACGTAAAAATTAGAGACGGTACAGATATAATTCATATTATACCTCCAAACGTTTTTGATCAAAATCCAAACTATTTTGAGTTTATTTGGTGTTTCAACAACCATATTAGGTTTTTATAATTATAAGTTATTAACCAAGTGCTTTTATAATATTTTTTAAATAGGTATTGTATTGTGTAATAAAACTAGTAAAATAATAATATACATGTATGTATTAAATTAAAATCATTATTTACAATGGATTGTTTCAATAACCAAAAAATAATAATTTATTACAATGAAAAATATAAATTAAAACAGGTTTCTACAAATGGGACAGGAACTCTTATTGCTGGTGCTGAACCATTTGTACTAAAAAAAAATAATTGCATATTAATTCTCAGAATTTTTTATATACAAATATAGTCTGTGTAAAAGGCCTTTACAAAAAACTACCACATATTCCTTAGACCAAAATAAGTAATCCTAGTTCATAGTGGCTTGGTTGGGCAGTATACAGGGTGTCCCAGGAGTCACACACCGCCTTAAAGGTTTATGAACTACTACAGACCACCAGGAATCCCAGAATCCCAAATTGTTTAAAAAATGCAGTACTTAGTGTAAACCATCTTACTCAATGGTGTAAACATTGAGTTCCTAACAGGGGCTTCCCATATTTGCTATTTTATTTTTATTTACCATAAATTTAAAACAGCTTATGTGACTTTGCTAAAATTTGGTATGATAGTTTATTGAGACAAAAAAGTCATATCAATATTAAGGTAAATATCAATTATAAATTATTATAGGTGTAAAACAGGGGTATTTTAATAATTGCACCTTTTAAAATTGTAGAAATTCTACAATGGAGGAAAAGGAATTTCACTGTAAAATTTAGATAGCCCAACCATTAACTACAATACAACAAAGGTATTCCTAATAAAATTTCATTTCTCTGTATTTTATTCATTCGCAGTTAGTTTAAAAAAATAGGATCCTAAAAATAATTTAAAATTGTACGATATTCTTTGAATAAAATTTAGAGATTTTTATTTATTTTAGTGGATTACGAATGTGTATAATACAATATAATATAACACATTGTGTTTTTATGTTTTTTTTGTTTGTGCAGCAGGTGGAAGTTGCGCTACTCAGGATTGTGGAATTGACCAGTCAAATTGTTTTTGGTTGGGTCATTTGAGCAGTCAATTGACCAAAATAAAATACAAAAAAACAAAAACTTAATTTAAAACATTTTAAAGCAAAAATAAAACAAAAGCATATTAAACTTAATAATAATAGTAAGTTACACAGCCCCACAAAAAAACGATGTATTTGGATAATTAATTGTTTCGACTTTTACTACACTGTTTAAAAGTTTCACTTTTTTATTTAAATATAACAATTGTTTTGCTACACAGTAGCATCTTCAGATCTTATCCAAACTAATATTAATTTTCTATTTATATAACTGATGGTTTTAACAGGTAAAATCCTTAGTACAAAATTGGGGGTAGATTAATTAAGCGTTATACATTAAAGGAAACATAATTGTGGGAATGCCCTGTAATCTGAAGATGCTAATGTGTAGCGAAACAATTGTTATATTTAAATAAAAAAGTGAAACTTTTAAACGATGTACTTGGGGTCGCTGAAGCCGAATCCGGAGCCCGTTTAACCCCATCACGTCAGGTTTTTAAGATAACCTCAAATAACCTAATAATACAAGCTAATAAGCCTTTTTAAAATTAAAAACCTTATAACCGAAGCTGTTTATTCACAATAACTTTATAATCCCATAAATCCATAACCAAAGAACTCTACCCCAAATCCGAATCCCAATAACCCACAAGGACATCGATTTTTTTGTGGGGCTGTGTTATCAGTATTAGATTTTTTGGGTATCAGAATTAGCTTATGAAGGTAGACAAAGGTAGACTAAAATCAGTTTAACTGGTATTTTTATTGATTATAATTAAATTATATTTTACATAATCTGGTTTTTTAGACTTTGTGATGTTTATACAACCTAAATAAAATGCTGAAAAACTTTAATGTACTTATTGACCTAATTAAAGTAGCTAGTGGTCAATTGACCATCCCCAACTAAAGCTAGATAGAGCAAGTACCATTCCTTTATGAAAAATTAATATAGAAAAATAAGTTTTTATTGTTTATTTCAATGGAAAAATATGCTCAATTCAATTTATTAAATGATTCAAAATAGTTATAGCATTTTTCACGGATTACCACAATAATTTAAGCTATATTAACAAATAAAGCCCTCTTAAATGGAAATATGCTAAAAAAATATTTGTTGCAATTTTGATTTAGTTGCATTGGGCCATTCCACGCTTAACGGATAGGAAAGTTGCCGTGTTTTTATTTACAAAATAATATTGTTCTATTATATTACCAATGTCAAATTTTTATAAATAGTTCTAAACAAAAGCTGTTTAACAAGGTTTTTATTTGGCAAAATTAGGTATCGTGATTGACTGTTTAATTCCTTAAAAATTAATAATTTAAAGCGTAACGGACGGGACTATTACAAAGTATAACCTAATAAAAGAAGAATATTTTTGACAATTTTGATGCAAAAATATTATATAATAAATATTCTACAATTTTTTTTATAAAAACAGTTTTGTAATTCGTGCGTTTCGAGCGCTTGAAATGGCCGCTTCTAAAAATTGCTTTCATAACAAGCTTAGTGTAAAAAGGTCAGCCATATAGTAACGCGAAAAAAAGAAACACGAATTCGTCTTGGGGTTTTGGCCAGGTTTTCGACGATCTAGACTTTTTTGTCCCATAAAACGGTGTCAACTACCTACCAAATTTTATCAAAATTACATTTTAAATTTATAGTAAAAAACAATTTTAAAATTGTCTTAGCAGTTTCGTGTTGTCAGCTGAAGAGACAGGTGGCTTGATGAAAAAGTATTGAAATATAACTGACTTCCTTCCTTGAGAGGACATAAAACTCCCAGCACAAAAATACGCTGGTCAGTACGAAATATGCAAAATCTACAATAGATTGATTGATTCACGAATTATTTCCACGGTGCACCGCGGTGGATGGTTAACATAATTAAAGAAAATATCTGTGCATACAGCCATTCGCCATGGTGCATGATTGGAATGAACTATAAGATGAAGGTTGAACAATAAAAAATGTATAAATATAAAACAAACTGGTACAAAATATTTGATACTTTAGAAAAATTATATGGATGATTACATAATGATAAGTAATTTTTGACAATATTAAATGTATTCAAAAGAAAGAAAATAGACCTATAAATAAATAAACAAGACTATATCGAAAAAACAAGTTTGAAAAAAAAGTGATACAGTGAAAATAGTAAAAGAAATTAGACATAAAATAATATTAAAATGAACAATATTAAAATAAAATAAATGATTCAAGGAATTAGTTGTACTCAGATTATCTTAATTGAGACCCTTGATCATTTTAAATTAAAAAAAAATAATGAGCTGGCCTAATAGCTTTTAAGTAAGTTAAAGGTCATTACCACTGAACACAGTGCTTCTGTGTTCAGATTGAAGAAAAAGAAAAAATTGCCTAAGCAACTTTATATTAATAAAGCTAAGTTTAATTAAATCAAGTAATTTTGGCCATGTGATAGGTTTTGTGCCTTATAACTATTACAACCAAGTAATACAATTTTGTGTTCCCACTAGGTAAACCTAACGACCTATGAATATTCCATACCTTTTAATTTCATAGAAAACCTTTAAGAGGGCCACACAATAGGGTTTTTAAATTAGTATTTAGTCATATTCCTTGTTGAACACTCAGGCATATTAATTACTAAAATACTTTCATAACTACCCGTGTTTAATTATAATACATCTCTAACACACTCATTTTTTTCAGAAATTCTTAAAAAAAAATTTCTTTTTCGAAGTAAAAAAAATGAATTTGGATTGAAAAAGACGACACTGTTATATAGGAAAATTATCTTAGGTAAATAATTTTTGTCTAAAACCGACATACGATGTTCTTCGTCAGGTTCCAGCACTTGACAAGGCATGACGCAATGTAGCAGCGAGAGATCTTAAAACGTAAAAGTTTAAAGTTTAAAACCAACAAATATTTTTTTAAAAGTACAATCCAATTATAGTGAAACAAACAATTTTCATAAAGTGCAAACTAAAATAGTGTAACGGTCAATAAAGAGTGAAGTGTTAAGTGATAAGAAAGAGTTAAGTGACAGGTTTCAGCTTCTGGTTCTATATATAGGTGTCATTGGACGCTTTTCACTAGACAAACAAAAGAGGTCAAACAAGGGGGGAAGTGGCCATCCGCAAAAAAAATTGATAAGTATCCTTAAGCATATGCATGACCTAACACTTAATTTGCAAATTAAACACGACAGATATCTTTAAAACCCTAAGAAAGGCACACTGCTTAAACTCTAGAAAAAAAAACAATAAACATCAGTAACAATAGAAACATTAGAAAGACAATACTAGCGAAATACCATAAAATAATAAAGAAAAATGACAAACAACAAAAAACAAAACTTCCCAATCGAACTATTGCGGTGATACACCACCTGTGTAGGACAATAAATCTGTCAACAACAAATGCATAGAGCATGGAACCCAAACGAGACCAATAATAAACATTTGACACACATAATAAATTAATAATAAATCATTAAAACACTAACATAGTAAAAACAGCATCCTAATCAAACTCTATTGGATTTGTAAGAATTAGATTACAACAGAATTTGCGCTTGTCATTTGTTTAACTAATAAATAAATGCAATACTTAATTTGGAATTTAAGAAAAAAAAGACAAAACTCTACCACAAAACGTGCTTGGGCAACACAATAACTAAAAAAATTGTTAGAAATTTCGCACTACTGCGGCAATAATTAAAAAAGAACATCAAAAGCTACAAGTTACATATCCAGCTACTGAACTATCTATTGATGGTTTCCGGCCTCAAGACTGAAGACACATGTGCAGGAACAATCCTACTTGGGCACCAACAATAACGACAAAAACTTAGACCAAGACGTGGGCTCCTGCAGCAAAATAACAACTCCCGAACTCCATACAGTAATCCCCAATGTTTGGAGTAATACTAACTGCCTAGTCTAGGGGGGTTCCGCGTCGTACTTAGTTTTAAGTCGGCGTAATTGTCCCCCAAACACCAAACTGTCTATCCCTCCCGTCCTACCTCCTTCATTACTCTACTGGACGTATAGCATCGGCTCGGCGAACCCGGTAATGGCTACTAAAACTATTGGCATTTCGCTCTCGAGCCCTAATTAGGGGACAGTACGGGACGCAATGGACATTCGCAACCAGGAAACACGGGTGAAGCCGCGCCGTTGCTGGTGGCGACAGAAAATCGGCGCAAGGAAACAGAGGCCTATGCGGGGCCCGGGAGCGATGAGGCAATGGGGCCGGTTATACGTCTCTTATACTCAAACTCATACTCAAATCGACATACGATTTTCTTATTTGCGAATGTCGATATATCCGATTTCTGCTATGAATGCGTTATGTTTTAATGACAAAAACATAGGAAGAAATATGGCAAAAAGATATCAATGTTAAATAAACTTCGTTGTTTTACTATAGGTAAAAACTTAAGGATTTGGGAGGGGGTTGTCAATGTGGGCCGCTTTTACGAAAACCGGGCCGATTGAAACTTGCCCATCCGCCACTCAAATAATAATCACTTCACGTAAATTATCCGACACCACTTACAAATAACATTTTCGAAACGTGCATGCAATAGGATTTAAAAAATGTAGGTCATATTTATGGAACTGTCAATATTTAAATATTTCAGCGCATACAAAGTGTTATATGTTTCACCTCGGTCTCTCGAATCGTAGCACCATCTGAATTTTGCAACAACAGTGAAGTCACTTTATCTATTGAGATTGGTACTAAATAGTACCGTGGTTTTACCTATTAAAAACATCAAATAAGAGCGACATTGTTCGTGTTTGTAACGACACAATAAATTAAAAAAAGTTATTAACCTACAAAATAGGTAGGTACCACAAATTAAACTTACCAAACAAGCAGAATGGAACTTCTTTTTACACGTTTGACATGAAAGTTTTGGTAACTGATATGTCCCTGGATGCAAAACGGCAAAGCAAATGTAGCATTCTTCCACGCCATCAAACTTCTTGTCCAAATTGGTATTCCATAATGAAAGACCATCCCATATTCTGCCGTTCTAAAAAAGATCAATTTAGTTTTTTTAGAGTTTCAAAAATAATTTTACATACCTGGTGTAAAACGCATTTTTTAAATTGCAAAAGCCAATGTTTATGTGTGGTGCCTCCTATTTGTCTGTTACATTGCACCTCTGGTCCGCCCAACGGGTAATTAGCAGGTAAAGTAATAACAAGTTCCATTGTGGCTTCATCTACTGTGTACACTGCTACAACTTCCCTTACACTTGGCACAACTTTAATCTAAATAATTTAAAAAATATAATTTATACTGCAAAACTTAATTCAATAAAACATACAATTTTTTATAGCAAATTTACCGAAATACAATTTTTGTTCTGAACAAAAATCAGGTATTAGGTCAATTCGTATTACTTGATAATACTTCGTATTACTTGGTATTACGTAAGTGCTGCCATCTATACTTTTGTAATTGTAAACACGATACACAAACAACGGAATACTGATGCGCATGTGAGGTCATGTACGAAGCTAAAGATGCAAAATCACGTTATTTTCCCAAATTTATAACAAAGAATAACCTCAAATAGATCCGTGCGTGGCTTATGCCTTGTAAATACATTAAATAAATTTAAACCTGTCCAACAAAAGCAGCAAGCACTTTACGAAGAAAGTGGTAAATAACGTGGCGTATTTTTCAAAAACAGTTATTTAAACACAATAATTGCAGAAAAAACATTGTTCTTCATGCAAGGATCTTTATGCAAGGATCGAAACAAAACATGCGCTACAAAAAATGATAACGAAACTTTGAGAAACGATACTTATTCCCAACAAGCACAAACGTCCTGGGACCAGCCTTATGTCCCAGAAAAGGGATGATCCTATAAGGACGTTTATATGTACTGAGGACGTCCGAGGTTATCCTTGGGACATCCCAATATTTTGTAAGGCTTTCCTTAGGACGTCCTAAAGACGTTAGTTTCGTTTCTGTAGGAGGTTATGTTACAATTTGTAACTGCCCCCAAAAAGTTCGAAATTCAAACTTTAAATATACTTCGCACGTAACGTGACGAGTTTTCGATTCATAACCAGCGTACCGGTGTTTGTGTATCGTGATTGTAAATTGATACTTAAAGGTAAAGTTTACTTTCGCATTTTGTATTTTGCTAATTACCCGGACAACAATCGGGATTTCCTGGTGAAGGCATGATGATATCACAACGTGATATTTTTTATCACGCTGTGATATCCTGAGTGCATACACATGCTTCATCACAGTGATATCATGTAGAACTCACGGTGTGATATTTGCAAAATTTGTGCATGCGTATGAGCTCTGCGAACTGCGAATTTAAAACCTAGTTTTTTACATTTTCACATTACACCATTATAATTTATAAAACGTTGTTTGAATATCACGAATGTTGTCCGGGTTCAATTAAAAAAGATATTCCAATGTTTAACAAAACGTGAACGTTTTGAACGCAGGGCTCATACATTCGTGATATTCATACGAACATCTTGTCGTGATTTTCACAAATTTTATTCACACTGATATCATACGGAAGTCACCGCGTGATAAATGAAAATCATACGAACGTCACGTCGTGATTTTTACAAATTTTATTCATACGGACATCATCCGGATGTCACTGCGTGAGAAATGAAAATCATGTCGTGATTTTTTATGTCATCGCTGTTTGCGATTGACCGATGGCCTAAAAAATCATGTCGTGATTTTTTATGCCAACGGTGTTTGGATAATCATTTTTGCGCCACGTTCGTACACTAAGAGAAAAATTATGTTGAATCAACAGTTTTTGCGGTTAAATACATTTAATATTTTCTTGGATTTAAATTAACTATATATAGTTAATTTAAATCCAAGAAAATATTAAAGTATTTAACCACAAAAACTGTTGATTTAATATATATGTAGGTATACTTTTTCTCTCAACGTACGAATGTGGCGCAAAAATAAATATCCAAACACCGATGGCATAAAAAATCACGACATGATTTTTTAGGCCATCGGTCAATCGCAAACAGCGATGGCATAAAAAATCACGACATGATTTTCATTTCTCTCGCAGTGACATCCGTATGATGTCCGTATGAATAAAATTTGTGAAAATCACGACGTGACGTTCATATGATTTTCATTTATCACGCGGCGACTTCCGTGTGATATCAGTATGAATAAAATTTGTGAAAATCACGACAAGATGTTCGTATGAATATCACGAATGTTGTCCGGGTACTATTAATAATCAATTAGATATTTTCTAAGTAAACACATTTTATTTTTAAAGGTTGAACGTAAACTTTGTTTTTTATTTTTCTAAAAGTTAAGTAAATTAATTTTATACATACATTTTAAACACGAATTCCCAAGAAGTTTTTTATTCATTTATAAATATACGCTAAAGAAGTATCGGGTTTTCGCAAAGCGCGAGCCATCTGGTGGGCTTCGATAGCATTGCGTGAATTTAAGAATTGTCAACAATACATTTAAAGCACAGATTATACATCATTTTTAAATAAATAGGTAATTTTTTCACAAAAGAGGGGAAGGCAGATCTCTTACTCAACAAATTTTGTTCAATTGCACAGCTAAATCGCGCACGTTATTTGTGTTTTACGTTGCAAGGAAAAAATTAAAAAACTATTTTAGTATTTGATTTTGATTGATTATTCCTTATATCATTGATTAAGAACTCAACGCTTAAATGCTTATATAATTACGTTAGTGTGTGTATTTTATCTAAGGGATCATGGTGAATTATTGTGTTTTTAATTGTAAATAAAATTCAAGAACTAAATCGTTGCATTTTCATGTTTTGCCAAAGGATCCAATTCGGTAAGTACATTTGTTGGTGCAGAATGAACTAATGATAACTTTACCTAATTAAATTTATATTTTAGTTTGGACATTTTTAAGAAATTAGTAAAAAATAATTTTTGCGCAAACATAACCTTAAAACCAACCATTTTTATATTTGGGTTCTCTAAAAAACGCCGACAACTGCATTTTAAACAACAAAATATACCTACGAATTCATGGCAACATAATATTATATATAATACATAATATAATGGTATTTTACCGTTGAGTGGAGACTTTCTTAATCAACGCTTTTAATAATGCTAAATGCTGTTTGAATTCAAGAACTAAATCGTTGCATTTTCATGTTTTGCCAAAGGATCCAATTCGGTAAGTACATTTGTTGGTGCAGAATGAACTAATGATAACTTTACCTAATTAAATTTATATTTTAGTTTGGGCATTTTTAAGAAATTAGTAAAAAATAATTTTTGCGCAAACATAACCTTAAAACCAACCATTTTTATATTTGGGTTCTCTAAAAAACGCCGACAACTGCATTTTAAACAACAAAATATACCTACGGATTCATGGCAACATAATATTATATATAATACATAATATAATGGTATTTTACCGTTGAGTGGAGACTTTCTTAATCAACGCTTTTAATAATGCTAAATGCTGTTTGAATTTAGACGACTTATTTGTTTGACGATTTTTACTGAATTAAAATGTTTACCCTTTTCACGTTAATCACTACAAAAATGTGTATTTATTGTATCTAATAGGTACAATTTATATTTACAGAGACTGTATGCAATTTATTTCTACATTCAGGTTAACACTGTTTATTGGAAAACCGGTAAAAACTCAACCCAGGATTTCCTCTCGAAATACAACCAACAACACAACAAAGCCACGGTTTTTTTCCGATATTTTTTAACATTTTCCGGTTTATTCTCAAAAACACTCGTAACATAAGCGTTTGTCAGCTGATTATTAAAAGTGGTACTTTTGTTACGATGATAACAGCCGAGTGGTGGCGCTACTGGCGATACTTCTTTAGCGTATAGCATTGACGCGCTCTTGATAGTAATATACAGCCCTACCCATATTTTTTTTAAGATTGCTGTAAATTTTTAGACTTAGCTACCAGTTTTTTGAAAAATTTGTATACTCCTAATATATTTGCACTAAATATACTATTTTGAGTTTATGTTACCTTGACTGCAAACTTCAAAATACTGAGCAAAATACAAATAGTAGGGTTGCATATTTAAATGCGCAGTATTTCTTGACGTTATTATCCCTCACAAAGTGTATATTTTCAAAGAGCCAATGAAATAAATAATTTTAAAATATGTTTATAAATGGTAGTAGTATATTGTGCGACTAGTGATAGAAAGACGAGATTCCACGCGAGTGGATTTTATTTTATTTAACTATGCTTGGACCTTTACTTTTTATTTTATATACCGCTGATCTATTTAATCAAACCAAATATGCACATTAGGGTGGACCTTAACTATAGTATGAAAAAATAAAAGACATTTTTTTTCTCACGCCGCCCCGTAAATTTGTTCCATTTATTGAAAAAATCATTTCTATAAAATCTGGAATCGATCACATAACGGAAAGACGTGGCACATCGCTCATTATACCTATATGAGAAAATAATACTTTTGTAAAAATTGAAAAATACCTACCAAGTAGTACAATTTAGCCAAGTATTCTGTTTTAGGTACCAAATAAACTGTTCGATTCTCTGGCCCATGTACAGGGTGATCCATTATAAATGTCCACCCCCCAAACTTTTTTTCTTTAGATTTTAGACAAAAAAGTTTTATATAAAAGTTGTAGGGTTCAACAAAAAGTTTTTTTTCGTGTAATGTTTACGTATACAGGGGGATTCAAAACCATATTACAGATAAAAATATATTTTTTTCCTATGGAATGACCTATATTTTATACCCTTATGTAATAACTCTTTAAACTCTGAAAAATATATAACACATTATGGATATTTTTAATATACCTATATGGCAGAAAATGCCAAAAACTGAAATTTCACTTAGGCCATGGGTCGTCATTTTTTCATTCGTCGTTTCATTATTTGTTTTGACGTCTTTATTGAGTTATTTTCGCGCGCTGCAGAGATGTTATCTTCAAATAAACTCTAGAACCCAAGTAATTACCTTTTTATACTAGGTTTCTTGTCAGCATGCTAAAATTTCTCAGCTCGTAACAATAAGTAGTCTCGCATACAATCCTACATTGACTGTTATGCTGTATGAAACCAATATATTAGGAAATAGAATTGAAAAACATCATGACATTTATTCTTCTTATGGATAAAATTTACTATAAATAAATAATTATTAATAATATCAACAAATTCATCATAAATTTGAGAAATAAGTTAGCTCTTCTATTAGCGGAAAATTCGAAATTT